GTCCAGGACCTCGTATATCGGTACATCTCTATATTCGGTATTTTGATGATTTTAGCTACATTATCCACAGGAATTATTGAAAATTTCGTATTAGAAGTTCCTACAGCGTACTACAGTATAACAGTCTATGACAGAAAACTGTATATGCAGGTACAGGTCTTCGTATAGCCCCCATGTAACGACACCCCCTATATTCGGTATTTTGATGTTTTTGCGACATTTGAATACTATAATGGCTATGACTAAAATTGCCTATGCATCTACGTTTTCGTAAGGATCCCGTTATAACGGTTAATCCCTATATACTGTATTCTTAAGATTTCATTCAAAGTTCGATCCGGCCCAAAATAATACACTTATTCCTGACCTGAATCATCCAAACATATATTTCTAAGTCAATATAGGCACGCTGTTAAATAATCCTAAAAATTATTTCAAAACGCTTGCTAATTTCTTTGTAAAACATATATTTTCAATATTTTATCGCACAGATCGGGTATAACACCTTTCATCTATATTACTGTAATATTTGACTTGTTTTGTTTTGATTTTTGAAAAATCAGTGTAGTCGTGTGTTGATAAAATAGTGATTAGCATAATTTTAGCACCCGTTTATTAGCACGTTATGCAGCATGCCTGAATATATATGTATGTATGTATGCATGCATGCATGCCTGTCTGTATGTAAATTAATATGCCATACATTTATGTGATGTTATGTTTGTCGACATGTGTTAATAGTTATGTAAATGATGAATAGAAAAAAATAATCAAACACCCATGGTTGGGAGCAGAGATTTACATACAAACCTATATTGGATAATAATATTTTAATTTCTTAATACTTTGAGAGCAGAAAATTGTTCTGCAGAATGCTTGAGGTAAACATATGGAAAGTGAGAATCTTTTTAAATGGTGCGCTGAAGAAATAAAAACAACACATTTATAAGCTTATGATAGGGAAATTGCTTTGAAATTGAATGGTTTTAATAATGATTATAATGATCGTTCCCAAAAAGGTAACGGTTCCAAAAAGTGACTATATAAGGTTAATTAAACCGTATCAATTTCAAAGTTCAGAGCACTAAAGCATTGGGTGGTGAAATATTTTTGAGTTACCAGACACTGACTTGTTTAATTCATTTCTTCGAAATACATGTTCCGATGTTAGAGCTTTTAGCGTGCAATACAGTTCAAATTTTTATGCGGCCTATCGAAGCGAGATTTGTCAACCAATCAAAATATCATATAAAAAGCTATCCAGTAAAAATTCACATTACAACATAACAAGTTACCTAACCAATTTTTGTTAGTCCTAACTACTGACAAATCATCCTACTAGCCCAATAAATTATAATAAGTATTTGCCACCAGATATAATAAGCAGAAAAACGTTTTTGTTTTACCTTTAATGTTCCATTTCACTAAAATTTCTGTTATACCCTCCGTACCATGGAGGGTATACTAAGTTTGCAATTCAAATTGTAACTCCTAGAAATAAGCATTTTAGACACCACACAGTTTATATATTCTTGATCAGCATGAGATTCGACGGTGTTCCCAGATATTCGATATTTTAAAAATTTTCTAGTCCCCTCTATATATAAAATTATCTATAATGCTAGATAACCCTCATATAACAGTAGTTTTCAATATTTGGTATTTTAATGATTGTAGCCACATTTTCCGTTTTTTTATACCCTCCACCATACTATGGAGGGTATATTAACTTTGTCATTCCATTTGTAACTCCTCGAAATACTCATGTCAGACCCAACAATGTATATATATTCTTGATCAGCGTAAAATTCTAAGTTGATTTAGCGATGTCCGTCTGTCTGTCCGTCTGTCTGTCTGTCTGTCTGTCTGTCCGTCCGTCTGTCTGCTGTAATCACGCTATCTTTCGAATGAATTGTGATAGATGGCTAAAATTTTGCACACATGTTTATTTTTTCAGTAGGCAGGTTAAGTTCGTAAATGGGCCATGTAGGTCCACGTTTTCATATAGCCCCCATATAACGGTACCTCCCTCTATTCGGTATTTTGATGATTTTAGCGACATTATTTACGGGAATTGTTTCAAATTTGGTATTTGAAGTTCAAAATGGACACTACACCCTAAGATGGAAAACTGTCTATGCAGGTCCACGTCTTCATATAGCCCCCATATAACGGTACCTCCCGATATTCGGTATTTTGATGAGTTTAGCAACATTATTCACGGGAATTGTTTCAAATTTGGTATTTGAAGTTCAAGGTGGATACTACACCCTAAGACAGAAAATTGTTTGTGCAGGTCCACGTCTTCATATAGCCCCCATATAACGGTACCTCCCTATATTCGGTATTTTGATGATTTTAGCGACATTATTCACCGGAATTGTTTTTGGAGTTCGAATTGGTATTTGAAGTTCGTTATGGGAACTACAGTCTGTTACAGAAAATTGTCTGTGCGGGTCCAGGTCTTCGTATAGGCCCCATATATCAGTACCTCCCTATATTCGGTATTTTGACGATTTTAGGTACAATACCCACCAAAATTGTTTGAGATGTGGTATTTGAAGTTCGTAATGGATGCTACAGCCTGGGACAGAAAATTGTCTATGCTGGTCCAGGTCTTCGCACAGCTCCAATTTAACGGCACCTCCTTATAATATCGTATATAAGGATAAGGAATTGACGATTTTAGCTACATTATTCACCGTTTATTTCAAGTTTCGAATTTGAATATGGTAATGGCTTATGACAAACAATGCCTATGTATGTCCACGTCGTATAGACCCCAATAAAACGGCTATATTCGGTATTTTTAAAATTTTAACAAAAATTTTTAAAGATTTTATTTTTTAAAAATTTCCAAATTCGTTGCAAATGGTGGAGGGTATTAAAAGTTCGGCCCGGCCGAACTTACTGCTTTTTAACTTGTTAATTTTAAAACAAGTAAAAAATCTGTAATTTCGGCCGGGCCGAACTTTGAATACCCTCCACCATTTGGAACGAATTTGGCAATTCTCAAAAACAATTAAATCCGTTATCAATTCTGTTAAAATCTTAAAAATACCGAGTGTAGCTTTCATATTAGGGTCCATACGACGACATGGACCTGCACAGGTAACATTTGTCATAAGCCATTACAATATTCAAATGCGAAACGTAAAAAAAATCGAATATTGGGAGGTTCCGTTATATGGGGGCTATAATAAGACGTGGACCTGCACAGAAAATTTTCTATCTTAGACTGTAGTATCCATTACGAACTTCAAATACCAAATTTGAAACAATTCCGGTGAAAATGTCCCTAAAATCATTAAAATACCGAATATCGGGGGTTCCGTAATATGGGGGCTCTACGAAGATGTGGACCTGCACAAACAATTTCTGTCTAAGGCTGTAGTATATATTACGAACTTTAAATACCAAATTTGAAACAATTCTGGTGAATAGTATCGCTAAAATTGTCAAAATACCAAATGTCAGGAGGTACCGTTATATGGGGGCTATACCAAAACGTGGACCTACATGGCCCATTTTCAATACCAAAAGTCCTGCAGACATAACATACATTTGAGTAAAATTGTATCAATATACTTCAATTCGTTCGGAATCTAGAGTGTTTTCCAGAGACGGACAGACGGACGGACATCGCTAAATCGACATAGAATTTTATGCTGATCAAGAATATATATACTTTGTGGGGTCCAAAATGTGTATTTCGAGGTGTTACAAACGGAATGACAAACTTAATGTACCCTCCATACTATGGTGGAGGGTAAAACAAAACATATAACTACTGGGTCTTGGAACTTAAAACTCGTAACTTTCCAATCGATATTGGTGCTGCTGGTACAGATTTTAAGTTTTCATCATTTTATGTTATCATCATCGGTTCAGACCACTTTTCCGTCTCTCAGACTATGCCCGATTATTTAAGTACATTCCAAATTGCGTTATGGTTGGAAAAAGTGGAAAGAAAATATTATATTGACGAGAAAAATATGTTGAATATATTGTGTGGAGGCTAATATTTTTCATGTACGCTGCTGACCTAAGTCCGGCAAAAAAATTACAACTTTTCTTAGACTGTATCGGAACCTCGACTTTATTTTGAAGTTTATCGTTTTGAAGTTTACCAAAGATCTTATTTGTTAAACCCTTGCATAGTGGTTCTGAGGGTGAGATAAAAAAACTGCAATCAACTTCAGATTGCTGTCATTTCTAAGCCACTCGTCAAAAGAGCTAGAGTTTCTTCGCTTGGCCAAAAGTGGTGGTTCTCCGATGAGAAACATTAATTGTCCAACAGTTTGTAAATAAACGAAATGATCGTTTTTACTTGCCAAAGAGGTCAGCCGAAAATGTGCACGCAAACATTTTGATCGCGGACCTTGGACATTCCAACAGGACTTAAAAAATGTAAAAATTATGGCATTTGACGTTGTTGCAGTTGTTTATCTCACCCTGTACAAATTAACCTCAATATTTTAGAGAGCTTGCATCAAATCAAAACTCATTGGTTTAAAAAATCGGTCATTTCGATTCGCTTTTTTTGTATAGGGTCTAGAGGTAAAAGCCTATCTATTTTTTTTGACGTTTTAGTCATATTTTCATTTATATGCGTCAAATTTTGGTATCTTGCAGTTTCAGGATCAGAGTGATGGTTTTAAATCAATGCTGCTGATATCGATAGGTTAAATTCCAAATACAAACTTGGAACACTTTGTAATATATTTCCGTTTAATATGACTCTCTCGAATATAAGGGTAATTTGCATATAAGTCTGAAATCATGGCAAATGCAATTACTTTCATTTAACTTGACTTATCATACCAACCCCCATTTGTTTATTTTACATTCTCTCTCCTTGTGGATGCCGATAAATAAACCAACAACACATGTTTGCAAGCGAATAATGTTGTTGATGACGTTTAAATTGACTTACTTGTTATTTGTTTTCATTCCTAATATTTATTTTGTTCTCTCTGTTCTTTTCGTTTATCTTGCAGATCGTTTGGGCAAAGTGTGATCGCGGAGTCGCGGTTGGTACATGTGCTCCAGCAATAAAAAAGTGAATCATCTCTGCTCTTAGGGGGAAAAAACCAAACAAACCGAACTGAACTGAATTCACCATAAAAAGTAATTAACCAGCGAAGTAAGCAGAGTCGGCAGCAGAGCCGGCAGCAGAATATCCAAGCGTACAAACAAAAACATTGTTTTTTGCCTTGGCTGGAACCGCTGCATGAGACGATCTGTGTTCAACATCATGGCAGTGATCTACAGGTAATTCAACTAAAAGCACAACTGAAGCGCGAAAGAAATACAACATTTTAAGCCAAAAAAATTGAATTGTAAAATAAACAATTGAAAACAAAATCGAAAACCAAAAAAAAAAAAAAAAACAAATCAAAGTCGTTCAGCAAAACCGGATAAACGGAAAAAAGGTGTGAATATTTTGTTTCTTTACAAAAAAAAGCTAGAGGAGAAAGGTACTAAAAGTGCAGTCGAAATAAAATTTGCGCGTGCAAAGCCGTAAATCCTCAAAAATATTAAATAACTTGAAATTTTTGGTGGGTATTTTATTCATTGATATGCTTGGGCAGTTTTGGAACTGCTATGTAATCGATGGTGATAGTTAAGCGTTCATATGTAAAACTGTTGCCGTAGTGATATTTTCACCATGTTTGGTCTTCTATAAAATTCACTAGAGTCATCTAATATTGGAAAGACGTGCCCGTGTTCTCATTAATATTTGATGACATTGTGTTTGTTTACTACGATAAGAGTCGTAACAGTAACAATTGCCAATTGCTGTGTTGGAACACTTGATATGGCAACACATGATGTTAATTGTCAATTCAGAAATATGACGGACAGAAATGTGCAATCTTTGGCACAATGAAATTTAAAAATGAACTTAAAGTGATATATTCGAAATTTTAATGATGATTTCTTTACATGACTTAACCAAGAAGAACAATTTTATGGATAATTTATGAATTGATACTCAGTTACTTATGAGAATTTTGAAGTTATGCAAAAGAAAAGTACAATTCCAAATGAGCTTTTCATATTTTTGATTTCTTTAGTTAAATTCAAAATTTGAAAAACTCATTTGGCAGATTTTCTGTCGTTTTCGTCATACAAAACCAGCTGAAGGTACTAAAAATATTGAAACATTCAAATTTGATCAAATTTTTGACAAGTTTATGGCCCAAAACATCGCGAAACATAAAGACTCCTGAAAGTTTATTATTTTTCATAAAACGCTTTTTGGCCGTATGCCTCTATGCAGTCGTATATCTGAGGTTATTAGTATTAACAAGCAAAAAAGCAGTAAGTTCGGCCGGGCCTAACTTTGAATACCCTCCACCATTTGGAACGAATTAGAAATTTTTCAAAAAAATAAAATCCATTAAAAATTCTTTTAAAATCTTTAAAATATCTAATATTGGAAGGTGCCGATATATGGGGGGATATACGATATTGTGGACCTATAATGACAAATCTATGTCTGCGTGTAAAGTACTCACAAGGAACTCCTTGTGTGGATTTTCAGATAATTCCATTGGAAAAAGTGGCTAAAATCATCAAAATACCGAATATAGGGGAGTACCGTTATATGGGGGATATACGATATTGTGGACCTATATAGATAATTCTCTGCAGAGGTATAAAGTACTCACAAGGAACTCCTTGTGTAGATTTTCAGACAATTCCGATGAAAAATGTGGGTAAAATCATAAAATACCGAATATCGGGGGGTACCGTTATATGGGGGATATACGACATCGTGGACCTGTATAGACAATTCTCTCTCAGGGGGTGAAGTGCTCACAAGGAACTACTTGTGTGGATTTTAAGACAATTCCGTTGAAAAATGTGGGTAAAATCATCAAAATGCCGAATATCGGGGGTACCGTTATATGGGGGATATACGATATCGTGGATCTATATAGATAATTCTCTGTCGAGGTATAAAGTACCCACAAGGAACTATTTGTGTAGATTTTCAGAGAATTCCATTGAAAAATGTGGCTAACATCATCAAAATACCGAATATCGGGCGTACCGTTATATGGGGGCTATACGATATCGTGGACCGATATAGCCCATCTTCGAACTTGACCTGCCTGCAGACAAAAGAGAGATCTGTGCAAAATTTTAGCTTCCTATCTTAATTCGTTTAGACTGTAGCGTGATTACAACAGACGGACAGACGGACGGACAGGGCTAAATCGCCTTAGAATTTTACGCTGATCAAGAATATATATACTTTGTTGGGTCTAAAATGATTATTTCGATGAGTTACAAACGGAATGACGAACTTAATATACCCTCCATACTTTTTTTGGTGGAGGGTATAAAAAGCGGATTCCGTATACCAAATTATAATTGCTCTAAAGCATACTATAGAGAGGAATATACTCCTCCTAATCGATTTCTACTGAATTTGCCAAGGCATTTGTGCCTTTTCAATTCGGGCCTGAATTTCCCATTTGGTGCACAATTAACTTGAAATAGTATAAATATACATATGGAAGCAATATCCAAATCTGATAAAATTTGGAAAATGTATTTCTGAGCTGTATTTGATAGATATTCCCGAATATCGTTACTATGGAGTGCATATTGCGGCTGTGCAGGATAAATTAAATAAACCGGATGAACAATATATATGGGAGCTATAGCCAGATTGAACCGATTTTCACCACATTTAACATACTTGTTTCTAGACTCAATTTCGTCGTAAGTGCCAAATTCCATCCTATTGGTTCTAATATTACACGTTTGGTGCACAATAAAAGGCAAATCGGACGAAGATATATATGGGAGCTTATCCAAATCTGAATCGATCTCGATAAAATTTAGCAAATGTATTTCTGAGCTGTATTTGATAAATTTTCCCAAATATTGTTGTTACAGAGTGCATATTACGGCTGCGGAGGACAATAATAACAAATCGGATGAACAGTATATATGGGAGCTATAGCAATATCTGAACCGATTTCGATCAAATTTGGCATACTTATTTTCAGGCCAAAATTCCATACTATTCGGGCTGATATTACACGTTTGGTGCACAATAAAAGGCAAATCGGACGAAGATATATATGGGAGCTATATCTAAATTTTTACCGATTATCTCCGATTTCAATAGGGTTCGTCCTTGGGCCAAACAAATGTTGTTTGCAAAGTTTCATCTCAATCGGATAATAAATGCGACCTGCATTTTGTTCACAAGAATACATGGACAGACGGACGGACAGACGGACTGACATGCATAAATCAACTTAGAAAGTGATTCTATGCAGATCATCAAAAGGAACTATGGGTCTATCTCGTTTCCTTTTGCCTGTTACAAACAAATGAACAAAGACATAATACCCTGACCACCTTGTGTTGTAGGGTATAAAAAGCTCCTAAAAGTTCACAATGGTATTTCGGAAAGAACTGTTAAAACGTTCTTAGTTTTTTATTCAAAATGTTGCCCCTTTCTCTGGGAGGCATCAAAAGGAGTTTGCTGTTTTTATAATTTTTAAAACTAATTCAAATATTATATTAACTTTGTCCTTCCGTTTGTAACATGTCTTAATATTCGTCGTAGACATCACGATACAGGCCACATTATTTGACGTAGAGCGTCAAAATTTAGCAGAATAATTTGTATTGTGTCTAGGATGGTTGGTGTTGAAAATGACATATATCGGTCCACGTTTTGGTATAGTCCCCATATAACGGTACCTCCCGATATTCGGTATTTTGATGATTTTTGCTGCAATTTTTCATTGATTTGTCTTAAAATTGGTATTTGTTGGTCATAGTGGGTTCTAGCTGCGGTAGCGAAACATTGCATGTATAGGTCCACGTTTTTGTATAGCCCCCTAATAACTGTACCTCCCCATATTCGGTATTTTGATGATTTTTGCCACATTTTTTTACGAATTTTTGTCTGAGAATTGGTATTTGTAGGTCATAATGGGTCCTAGTTCGTGTGGCGAAACATTGTATGTATAGGTCCACGCTTTGCTATAGCTTCCATATAACGGTATCTCCCGATATTCGGTATTTTGATGGTTTTTGTCACATTTCTTCATGGATTTGTCTAAAAATTGGAATTAGTTGGTCATAATAGGTTCTAGCTCCGTTAGCGAAACATTGTATGTATAGGTCTACATTTTTGTATAGCCCTATATAGCGGTACCTCCCGATATTCGGTATTTTGATGATTTTTGCCAAATTTTCCCACGAATATGTCTAAAAATTGGCATTTGTGGGTCATAATTGGTTCTAATGTTTCCATTACCCTAATCTAAAAAACTTAATATTTTTTACTTGTTTTTTAATACATCTGCTCTGTGTGATAAAATATTTAAATCTTCTTACGCATTGTCTGTGATATATTTTATTATTTTAGTATTTTCTCTAATTATTGCTTCTTTTTTGTCCATCCCCGAACTTGATTAAACTTTTATAGAAATATGAGAGTATACAATGATTAGTCCCAAAGATATATGGTATTGAAATTCGTTATTTCAAGAGGCACCGTTTTGCCGTATCCAAAGTTACATTAAATCCGTAGCCAAATATTTGACCGCCCATAACCCTCAAATAATACGCTTAATACGCCTACTTACTTCGATATTTTTAAAAATTTAAGTATCAAAAGAAAATATTTTATTGTTTAAAAAATATGATATATAACTGTCAGTGTAGAAATCACCAGATGTGGCATTTCTATAGTAGACAAGAATCTGAAAAAGTATTAAAAAATTTTTTTATCACAGGATATTGACTTCGGTGAACAATTAAAATTAATTATTCGATATACAATTCTGGATGTTGGCCAATAAACAATGTTTCACATCGGTCAAACAATAACATCTCAACAGATTACACGAGGTGTTGAGTGATTTATAGATGTCAGTTAGTTCAATGATCCATGCAACAACAATGTATGGATATGAGGAAATTTCTTTCGCACTGGGAAAATTGATGATTTCCTACTGAATTTTTGTTTAAGTTCCAGGCCAATGTGATATATATGTGATTGGTTGTGATATGCGTACATATGGAGTATAACAAGTTAAAAAGCCCTCAGCCAATGTTTAATTATTTAAGTATGTTTAGACTTCTATTATGATTATTTAAATTGTTGACCTTCTATGAAATGGGTTCTGAAGGAATGGGCCTATATTGTCCATTTCGAATCGGACCTAAATAAATACGATATAAAAATTGCGACGTGCCAGATTTGGACTATACTTCCTTCACTTTACATG